ATGCTTGTTTTCCGTAAATACAGAAACTCCCGCAGCATCACGCCCGCTGCTAAGCTCCGTTCTAATGCTGGTATGAGCTGGCTCTGTGATCATCCCCTCCCTCACTCCCTCCCTCTTCCATCCCCTCCCTCACTCCCTCCCTCTTCCTCCCTCACTCCCTTCCCTAACTCTCTCTTATCCCTCTCTCACTTTCTCCCTCTGTCTCCCCCACTCCATCATTTATCTCACTCTGTCCCTTTATTCTTCTCTCATTTCCTCCTCCACTCTCTCCCTTATTCCTTTCTCCCTCTCTACCTTATTTCCTCATTCACTCTCTCACATCCCTCCTCTCGTCCCTCTCACTCCCACTCTCAATCCCTCACTCAACCTGCTTCTTTGTCTGTTTAGCTGGTTGTAAGTCTGTACGTTTTCTCTTCTCTTTTCTTTCTCTGTCTGTTTTTCTCTCTCTTTCCCCTTCATTTCCTCTCTCTCTCTCTTTGCCATTCACCTTTTACCATTTTTCTCTCTCTCTCCTCTTCCTACCTTTCGCTGTTCATCCCGACAGTACCTAGCGATGCTCTTTAAAAAGTGGTGTTGGTCTTAAGTCGAGACACCAAGTTTCCTCTTGCTGAGTTTCTGTCTCTGTACCTGTCATTCTGTACATCATAGTCTATTCGTCTGCTGTCTGTCTGCCTCTCTTTCTCCTCTCGAATAAATCTTTTGAACTGTATATAACACAATGCCAATTATGGAGTGATTTTGTATTTTCACCCAAAAATATTTCAACCCATACTGGTTATTCTCTTTACACGGAATCTAATTGGACTAAGGCTGAGACCGTGGAAAGTGAACCTTGTAGCTGCAGCATTATCAGTGTTTGCAAAATGTTCAAGTCTGCCAAGGCCTGACTTTGCCTGTCCTCACCTATTCCGCCTTTTTTGTTTAGACACATAGACTGATAAACATATTTTTTTATAAGAAGTAAAAAACAATCAAACAAATAAATAATGTAAATGCAATACACATATATAATTTATTAAAAATGTTATATACCGCAAGAATTATTCAATATCTAGACTGTCAGTGGTTGCTAATAAAATGACAATGGACGTGCAGACGTGCAAAAGTAACTGCAATGCGCACGAATTTTTCTCGAGTGAGTCTCCTTTAATGTAAACATAAAACACAATTTCTGCAACAACTTTCCGCATGCTTCTTCTTCATATGGTCGTTCCAGCACCTTATTCTGTTTCCTCGGTTGCGTTCTGAGAATCATCCGCGCAAACATGTCTGACGTATCATTCTCTTTGTTAACGTTGTTGTTTTTGAAGTTTTATCCGGTTTGTGACCTCATCACGCCATAGCCTCATGACCTCGTAGCCTCATGGTGCATCATCAAGGCCTCATAAACTCCTGGTCTCATAACCCGACGAGAAATTAACATCAAGACATCAAAAACTCATAGCCAAATCTTCCTCATAGCTCCGTGGCCTCATGGACTTGTGGTCTTGTTATATCCCCAATATTAAGACCCTTGATTATTATCATATATTAAGTTCAAAAGTTCAAAAGCACATATAAAGCATCACATCCTTATGGGATATTGTTATTGTTATTATCACTCTTCATATTGTTATTCGTATTCTTTTCCTTATCATTATTATCATTATCATCATAATCTCCATTAGCATTACCACCATCATTCCCCTCCTCACCATTACCATTATCGTACCCAGTATCTTTGTCAGGATCATTATCACCATCAGTAGAATCATAACCATCGCTGGCGTCAAGCACCATTACCAAATTCCTTTTTTTCTTGGCATGGCATTCAGAACTTATTGTCACTACTTCTACTACTACTACTACTACTACTACTGCTATTGCTACCAATACTACTACTACTACTACTACTGCTATTACTACCAATACTACTACTACTACTGCTATTGCTACCAATACTACTACTACTACTACTACTGCTATTACTACCAATACTACTACTACTACTACTACTACTACTGCTATTGCTACCAATACTACTACTACTACTACTACTACTGCTATTACTACCAATACTACTACTACTACTACTACTACTACTGCTATTGCTACCAATACTACTACTATTACTACTACTACTACTACTGCTATTACTACCAATACTACTACTACTACTACTACTGCTATTTCTACCACTACTGCTACTACTACTGCTATTACTACTACTACTGCTACTACTACTACTATTACTGCTATTACTACCAATACTACTACTACTACTACTACTGCTATTACTACCAATACTACTACTACTATTACTACTAATACTGCTATTACTACTAATACTACTACTACTATTACTACTAATACTGCTATTACTACCAATACTACTACTACTATTACTGCTAATACTGCTATTACTACCAATACTACTACTACTATTACTACTAATACTGCTATTACTACCAATACTATTACTACTATTACTACTAATACTGCTATTACTACCAATACTACT